GTAACACAAATGGCTAATCTCCACTGTATATTTTATGAAAGTGAAAAAAAATTTTTAAGGATCTAAAATTTTACAATACCAACTTTTAACAGCTTTTTGTTTCTCACTGAAAATTTTCATATACTTGGCATTTTTCAAATCTTGCCGGCTTTTCCATTTTCAGCATGTTGGGCTATTTTGCTTTCTATTTAACCCACCTAGTGATGTTCACTGTAAAAAATAGGGCAAAAAATATATAGGCATGTCTGACTTGGAACAAGTTCTTTATTACCTGCACAGGGGACTAATATAAAGTAGAATGTGTGGAATGATGAGGTTTTTGAGGTGAGGGGATAAAGTTGCATTATATCCAAATTTTTTAACAGTGGAGCCAGTTAATGTGTACAACTTAAAAATGGCTATACATAATGCTACTTCCATCTCTCTCATTTCAAAGCAAAAGTAAATGTAGCTGGTGATTCTCAAACGTTTTGTTGACCTGGGGAAAAGTGAGCATATTTTACATGTGCAGAATGCTTCACAACATCATCTGCTTGGCTGCCAGTCTCCCAAGTAGGCTGATGATCAAAGCCTTTGAATAAGTGACAGTTCTTTGGCCCTAGAGATACTGTGTGACCCAGGAAAAACGACCTACTCAACCAATTTTGTTTCAATTAAGATGCAAGATTATATTCTTTTGTCAGCAAATACCCTTTAGAAAAAATACACCACAAGCCTTATTTGGAAAACATTTAAGTATATTTAAACAGTTACTCAAATAAGAAGTGCATAGAACTATAACAAGAAAATCATATCTTTAAAGAAACAATTTATGAAGTGAACTGGCACAGTCAACCAGTACATACAAAGTCCTCCATTATACAGATTTCTTTTGGTGGAACTTTATAAGAACAAAGCGGCTGGGATGGGCTTTTTACTTTGGGGGCGGGGGGGCGGTGGTGGGCAGGGAATGGGCTTTTAAAGCACACAGGTTTTTATCAAGCTGGCCGTCGTAACAGAATTCACTGAGATGAGCTAATAGGCACATGCTCCCTTCAGGAAACTACCCTGACTCCAGACAGGGGCTGAAATAGTCCTGATGACCAAGAATCAGATCTAGATGAAACAGTGGAAATTTGCTTTCAAATACCTGTTGCTCTTTTTTCCAAATCTACATCTTAATATTAACAGTTCTTATCCTTGTCTATTTTGTTGCCTCAGAACCACCCAGGGCTCAGATGTACTGGTAAAGTTTGAAAAAATTCTAGTCTAAGTTTTCTGTTGACCTCTGACCCAAGTACTGAAATAAAGTGAATTTTATTTTAGTCAGGTAATATATAGAATGAAACAGTTGCTAAGTTCTGGGTCATTGCACAAATAGGATACCTCCTCAGAGACAGAAATTTTTCCTAGCCATGCAACTAGTTTAAAAAATTAGAGAACTCAGCCCTGGTGTCCTGCTTGTCGCTCTTGTGATCTACTGACTGCTGCTGCTAAGTCGCTTCTGTCGTGTCCGACTCTGTGTGACCCCACAGACAGCAGCCCACCAGGCTCCCCCGTCCCTGGGATTCTCCAGGCAAGTACACTGGAGTGGGTTGCCATTTCCTTCCCCAGTGCATTAAAGTGAAAAGCGAAAGTGAAGTCTCTCAGTCGTGTCCGACTCTTCACGACCACATCGACTGCAGCCCACCAGGCTCCTCCGTCCCTGGGATTCTCCAGGCAAGAACACTGGAGTGGGGTGCCATTTCCTTCCCCAATGCATTAAAGTGAAAAGCGAAAGTGAAGTCGCTCAGTCGTGTCCGACTCTTCACGACCCCATCGACTGCAGCCCACCAGGCTCCCCCGTCCCTGGGACTCTCCAGGCAAGAACACTGGAGTGGGGTGCCATTGCCTCCTCCGGATCTTCTGACACCAGGGTGCAAATGTGCCTAACAAGTGTGTGGGAGTAAACACGGCCATGTGTTTGTTGTTGGAAGTGGGATGAGGAGGCTGGAATACTAGTAAAAGGGCCAAGCACCCAGGAGTTAGAAACAGTTATAAAAGCTCTGCAACAGTAAAAAGGCTGGACATGCACAAGAAAAATTATTTAAAATACTTTGAACTCTTAACATAAGTGGTAAGTGAAAATCTTTCCTGGAAGCCCTTCTTGAGTGCTCCACGTAAACTGACTTTTGGCACATTTTTTGGCAATATTGACACATATTTTAATATAATCACAGAATTACCAGAGCTGTCTGTATGACAGCTCTGCTGTTGCTCACTTAAGTCCCCAGAATGAAAAGCAGGTTGCCAAGGCCACTTACTCCTGCCTCTCCTTTGTAAGGTAACCAAATGCAAACCATTTTTTTTAAAATACTTGGCACCAAAAGGAAAAAGAGGTAAGGAGAAGGCTGCCTACCCTTCTGAGTTGAGACTAAGTGGGGCCACAGAATTTCAGTGCATGGAGCCTGTGCTGCCTTTCTTTAGATGTTCATTTTTCTAAATAAAGCAAAACATGTTAATAACTTCTAGAATATCAGCATAATGCAGCCTGTATTGTAAAGCCATATCCTTAAACCATATCCATATGTTTTTCCCCCAGCCTATTAGAAAATGGGCTATACATCCACATTACAAGTGGTACAATTTGCTCCTCTGGTAGCTAGAGAACACACACCATCAGATGTAGACAAAATCATAGTATCACACTATCTCAATCAATTCCAGTGTTTCCAACTCTGAGACCACTAAAATATCTCCACCATCTCTATAGCATGTTTTGCCCTCAAGATTCACTGCATTTACTATTAAAAAATAGCTTATGGGCTTATGGGCTTCCCAGGTGGCGCAGTGGTAAAGAATACGCCTGCCAAGCAGGAGATGGCAGGTTCGATCCCTGGGTGAGGAAGGTCCCTGGAGAAGGAAATGGCTACCCACTCCAAAATCTTGCCTGGGAAAGCCCATGGACAGAGGGGCCTGAGGAGCCTGGCGAGCTGCAGTCCATGGGGTTGCAAAAGAGCCAGACACAACTTAGCAACAAGCAGCACACGTGTGATTTATGAAATTTAGAATACAGCAGAATCAAAACGAATTACTTCAAGTAACTTTTAGACCAGTACCCTCCTAGTGAGATATGTTCCAAGAATAGGAGCAACCACAAACTTTGCACTTAGGTTTACTGTTGGTAGTGATTTTGGTATTGTAATTCTGAAATTATTTTACATGTCATGTAGAATCAAGCAAATACGTAAGTATTAGTGTTGTTCAGAACCAAAATTCTCACCATGGGAGAAGGAAAATACAAATATGAAACAGGGAAGGGTGAGGAAGACTAATGTTAACTTTGAAATCAAAGTATCAGAGTGAATTCATGATTTATTTTTTAATTAATTTTTTAATTGGAGGATAATTACTTTACAATATTGTGACGGTTTTTGCCATACATCAACATGAATTTATAAAAAATGCATTGCCTGGCTCTGTTCTCTGAAAGGGCCAAGGAGCAATTAACACCCCAGCAGCACCCAGATCTTGATTTCCAAATACCATTCCTCATGAAGAGAAACCAGGGCTCCTTGGAGAAGTAGCCAGTTCCCAGTCTGGGGCAGGAAAAGTATATGACAAACTTAGAACATATGGCAAAAAGCAAGAACATGCCCAAAGACTGATAGGCATAGAGCAAAATGACCCATAAATAAGCTTAAAGGTGCTTCCACTGACCAAATATGGAACATTTAGAGGAGTGACAACACTTTTGGAAACAATCAATAACGCTGATACTCAAATATAAGTGGGCAGACTGGGGGCGGGGGTGGGGGGGTGGTGCGGGCTACTTTCTCAAGTGTTAGTTTCATAAGAGATCAAAAAAAGGTGGAAAAGGGTTGTTCCACAGTTTAAAAAACAAAAACTAGAAACCTACAGATGACAACTGAACGCCATGGTTTGCACTCTGCATTTAAGAAAAAGGAACACTTTGGAGAAAGCTGACTCAGGTGTCAATGTGTACTATACCTTGGACAACTCTGAACATTCAGTTCCTGGGGTGTGACAACTGTACAATGACCGTGTAGGAAACGTCCTTACGTTTTAAAAGAGATGCTGCAACAGCAGCAGATAAAGTACGATGCCATTCCTCTCAAAAGGAAAATGCTGATTACATCGAGACAACAGTAACAACTGCTGAACACAGGAAAGGGCATATGAGTGTTTCACTGCACCATCAGCTTCCTGTAAATTCGAAAAACCTTCAAAATAAAAAGCTGGAAGTTAAAAAAGCGTGGGGTGGGGGAAGGGGGCAGAAATAGCTCACAATTTGGGGGCTTCAGCAAAGTGGAGCATCCGTCTCTCGAATTTAATCAAACTCAGTGAAAAGCCAGAGTGATGACAGGACAAACAGAAGTCAGCTAGGATGGCAAACTCCTAAACATCTTCCTAGCAATTTAGACATGAGGGTGACAAGTGATATAAAAGTGTTGGTGAGTGGGTTCTAATTCACCTTTACACATTTTGTCACCAAAAGCCATAAACGGAAGATAAAATGCAAACATGTTTCCCTTCTAAATTATAAGGGGGCTGAATGACTGGCAGGGGAAAAAAAAATATTTTAAAAGTTAATACAAAAAATAAAAAGTTACCACACTGACATTTTGACAAGTTGGCAGAATGATAAAACTACCCTAGATGTTTTCTCATCTAAACCTAATAAATATTTGTAATTAGACACATACAATTAGACTAGAGCCCCATACTGTTTTTACATCTCCCAAACCGAGAAAAGCATCATCACCAGTGTGGTGTTTTAACAACAACAAAAAACCATCCCACCAAGATCTTTTTCCTTGAGCTTGTTTTCTAAAAGTAGACACTGAATAAGCCCACACCGCTAATTCCATGATCAGTACAGAAAATGCTGCCCTACCTGCGTGGCAATCTTTATCTTAAATGACTCTCAGAAACATGGTTACATCTCAAATACTACTAGTAGACTGCTGAGCTAAACACAGGAGTGGAATTTTTATACAGTCATTCAACATTAAGAAGTATTTTTACTCAAATAGTCAAGAGTTTATTTTAGATGGTGAAATCAGCCACCCTATTCCCACCACTTCTTTCTAAAATCCCAAACAAAATGCAGCAAAGTTAACGACCATGTGGCAGAATAATCATTCAAACTTTTTAATCTCCCTTTACACATTATATTAACATTTATATTGCAAGGCATTCCATTCACAAATATTACAGTTTGATAAAAAACTTCACACACATACCCCCAAAAGTCTATACCAGATTCAGCCACATTACTAAGTCATTAAAATAAGAAGAAGTAATGAAAACATTATCGTAATTCCTTTAAAGCAATAAAGGTCCGAGGCACTCTAGGAAAGATGTCTCTCACAAGTGTGGCATGTCCGTGGAATGAAATTACCGTCGCACAGTCTCCAGACACCCGGAATCAAGTGTTCTCCGGTGACAATGACTGACCTGTCTTCACTGGATACTCTCCCACCTGGGACTGAACTACTGAAAGGAGCACAGATGCTGGGAGACGAAGGCCATTTCTAATGAGGTTCCCAACTGTGTAAAGGAGAAGTGTGATTTCAGCACACCCAGGACAGTGCATCCCTACTCCAAGGGAACTGTCCAACCTCCAGAGATGTCCTTCCGCCCCCCCACCAGCTGTGCCAGACATCAGCACTTCCAGACTCTGCTCCCTGCTGGAGGCTTCAGAACTCTCTTCCCCAACCTCCACATTGCAACCTCCAGCCTTCTCTGAGTCTTTCCAAGGTATGCCCTTGAAGTAGGACAGAGAGGGGAAGGGAGCATTTTTCCTCCCATAATGACCGAACAGAGGTCTGAAATAGCCACATATTACAAAAATGTCATTCTCTGCAACAGCCAGCCTCCACTTGGGGCATAGCTGTTTCTGCCATAAACTCGACTTTTAAAAACCTGATGACGTTTGTCCAAAGTGGATTTTGCCACATGCATTCACTCACACAGAGCCCGCACTAAAGGGTCTCACTGACCGAGTGCTTTCTTACGCACAATTATAAGCGTAAAGAATCAGCAGGGGGAGGAGGGAAGCCAATTTCCAGCTGGGAATTAAATCACTGCAAACAATGGGTCTGTTTATGACAGCACAGAACCCCATCAGGGCAGAATGAGCACAAACCCCAGGTCACATAGTATTTAGTAATTACATACATGGAATTTAAAATGTATACGTATATACTTCCACACATACATAATATTAAAAAAAAAAAAATTGGGAGCAACGTATGTCGCAGAAGTCTCAAGGATTCTCCTCTCCAGCACTCACCTGGAAAGCAGCTGGCGGTGCTGGCCCAGTGGTGGCAGTAACAGAAGCAACTAGAAGCAGGTTTAAGTAAAAGTGCTCAAAGGGCAAGGAAGGAAAACAGGGGTGCAGAGATGTTGGGGTGGTGGTGGGGGGAGTTGAGAAATGCTTCCTTTATTCTTCTTGGCCTTTTCAGACCCAAGACAAGTTCCTGAGGACACATGTCGGATGTTGTAGTCCTTCCTTATCGATAGTCAAAACAAAACAAGTCATAAAAAAATTTCCTCTTCCGTTCTGTACTCTCAATAAAATGTGGAGTACGGCCAGAAAGTATAAGTGAGATGTGCCGTCTCAGGGGAAATTAAAATTGGGACGTGAAGTGAGGCTGCGCGCTATCAAGCCGCCGGGTCAGGATCTCACAGCCCGTGTCCGTGACCAGCAGAGTGTGCTCGAACTGGGCTGATCGCTTCCCATCTCTCGTCACCGCCGTCCAGCCATCTGGCCAGGTTTCATCCTGCCATCCGCCTGAAACGAACAAACGCCATCTCTTAATTCTGCTACTCAGTCCGTTTTCTAAGTACACTCTAGGGAAGTGTACTTGCCCGTGCTCCTCTATCCTTGGGTAGCTCAGAAAACTAATTTTACAACTCATTATTAAGATTCCTGTGCACGTCATCTGTTTAAGCTAAAGCCTTTCCAACTTCATTTTGGTCTTCAGTTCAATGAAGCAATAATAATGTCTAAATTTGACAACTTAACGTTTTGCGTCCTTCTCAACTACTGAATGAAGACGCTATTTCCAAACTAAAGGTGCTCAGTTTCCTTTTTGTAAACGGACTGATTACCACTCACCCCAGGACTACATTGAAGAATTGACCTCTCTCCTGATGTAACTTTGGCATCGGACTAAACCATGGCCAGCGTATATTGTGAAGGAAATAAGGTAACTTTTTATACTTTATTATAGCATTTAATTCCTGTGTAACTTTTTCTTTTTCCCTGTGTAACTTTTAAGTGGCAGGCACATAAATGGTGAGAATAGATTATATTGTAGGCCACACCCATGTAACCAGAAAGAGGGCAAAGAGAAAGAAATAGGAGTTTGGCAAGAGAATTTAAAAATTATGTTGAGGCAGAATGGGTTAGAAAGGAAATGACAGTGAAAGAAGCTGGGAGACAATGAAGGAAAATGAGAAAAAGAGAAAATGGGCGTGAGATGTAGAGCAGGGAAGACAGCAGCGGAATTACAAGGTTCTACAATTCCAGACACTACTAAAATAGCATAGAGAGATGTTCTGTCTCCAAATTAGGTGTTAAAAAATAATATTCTTTATTTTGAATACTCTTTATCAAACATTAGATCTTACTGCCTCAGACAAATCCCAGAGTATAAAGTAGTGAGGTAACCTACTTCTGCAACATTAAATCCCAGTTTAAGAAGAAAATATGAGGCAGCTTAATGAAAGTTAACTCATGCTCTGTCAACCATCTAACGATGAATGAATAGATAGTTTTCAATGTAATGAATGATCTTTCCACAAATGGATTTAAAACATTAATACTTCTTTAATTTTACTGTTATCTACTGAGGCAGATTCTTTACTAATGTCAAGTCAACTATATTTGACTACTGTTCTGAGGAAATTCCTCTTTGAATTAGACACTTCCCACTATGGAGCTGGGATTTAGCTTGGCTTAGTTACACTGAAGTATATCTGTTGTAATTTGATGATTATCTGAACCAGCTCAACACAGTGTTATTTGCTTACTCCAGGAAACACCACTCTGAAGTAAAGAGGTGAAGTCGCTCAGTCGTGTCTAACCTTTTGCAACCCCATGGACTGTAGCCTACCAGGTTCCTCCGTCCATGGGATTTTCCAGGCAAGAATACTGGAGTGGGTTGCCATTGCCTTCTCCAGGAGATCTTCCTGACCCAGGAATTGAACCTGGGTCTCCTGAATTGTAGGCAGATGCTTTACTGCCTGAGCCACCAGGGCAGGCAAGTGCCTGTTCATGAAAACAGGTACATAACCAAAATACACTTTCCCCTCCTTGTCCTTGCCTTTCTCTGCCATCATACTTACTTATCTTGCAGTTGCTTATACACGGTCACCATTCTTCTGGGGAGTGACAAAAACAGTATCTTACATTTGTAGAACCCTTTAAAGGTACTTTGTGTTAATACAAATCATCTCACTTAATTCTTACCACAGCCCTGGGCATTCAGATCAAAGATAAAGGTTGTAACTTCCATTTTACAGAAAAGGGAACAAAGGATCAGGTTAAGATGGCAGCCTTCAGAACAACCTCGAGTGCTTCCCTTCAGTGTGGACTGGGTTTAATGACTCACTTCTAAGGAAGAAAATCTGGTAGAAGTCATGAGGTATCACTCTGAAGATTAGGTTATAAAAAAGACAGGAAGGATCCTGAGGGGACCCCACTAACACAGGGGACAGGACGCAAGAGGTCTACAACTGCTGCCTCACTCTGCATCCCCTAATCCCAACAGACAGCTGGTGAAGGAGGCCCCGGTTATTACTCCGACAGCCTCAGTGAGGGCTCGAGTCAAGACCCCAATCATGGCTGTCATGTGCCTGTCACAGCGGTCAACAACAGCAGGGACATAAAACTGCCAGCGCGAAGCATGTCTGGGCTGGGCTTTCTCCACAGCAGCTGTGTGATGACGGCACCTGCTGACCAAAGTCCAGACCCTGAAGAGGCAGAACAGCGCATGCCTGACTTTAGAGTCCCACAAATTCTGCTACATAACTAGCTAAGTGACTCTGGGCACTTAACCTCTTCAAAAATCAGTTTGTTCTCATGGATAATGGGGACAGCACCTACCTCATAGGTTGTGGAGAATTAAATAACTGTGTCTGCCTCAAAAAAAAAAAAATGGCTCTAATTTCCTTTTCGCCCCTCTTTCTCACCCACACCAAGACACGCAACAATTTCCACACTGCCCTGATTGATGGAGGCAACCAATTATTACAATACACCCTTTGACAGAAGCTTTACGAAAAGGGACCAGGATTCAAGTACTTCAGCATCTACTAACAGCAGACGAATCACCATGGAGAAAGTACTGCCTTCCTGCCAGCAGTTACAATTTTCAGTTCTCTCCATGATACTGAATCAAGGTCAAGAGGGGACAGGGAGTGGAAACGAAGCAAAACCAAGCAGACTACTAATCTGATCAGGAGTAACCAAACATAAATAAAAATTCAATTATAGACTGTTACAGCATCCATTTTTCCTCACCTTCACAAATCATTGGCTCAATTGTAAATACATGACCAGCCTTCATCACTCCAACTGCTTTATTTTCTGAAATTAAAGAAAAAAAAAAATCTCAGAACACAGCAAAAAACCTACAGCATATTGTTAAACACTTCCCTGGAAAAAGTACACAACTTACATTCCCATGAGTGATTCTTATATTAATGAATTTCTCCTCTCCTGACTCCCCTTTCTTAAAGTAGATCATTCAGCAAACAGGGGTGCTCTGAAAACCACCTACTCTGTGGCAGATATTGTCCTAGGCATACTTCATTTTGTTTATGTTTTCTCTAGGAAAATACAGAGATGCCCTAGACTGGATTTCAGATGGAGTTAGTCCTTCTATGAAAGCAGAAGTACCTCCGTTTATGTTATAGCAGGGTTAGAATAGCAATTATGTAACCAACAAAGTTCCACACTTATCCAAGTGTGACAGTATAAAGGAGAACAAGATATTTCAGACCATGCAAGAAGTTGCGAATCTCCTGGTTGGGACAGGAGTGGGTGTGGATGTGGGGGTGGAGGTAGGGGCACGGCCCATGGAAACAACTGTACCATTTTTTAAAGTTTTGGAAACTGTCTTATCTTGGGAAGGGAAAAAAAAAAAAAAAAAAACCTTGCATACTAACCTACTTTTTTTTAATGCTGGCAAGATTATTCCTTTTTTTACTGGAAACAAAATTTCCATTTCTCCCTCCTATTTTGTCCAAGTTTGCCAATACATATTCTTCAGGATCATCATAAGAAACTCAATTGTTAAGTGTCCAGACTTGCCATCTCCCCAAATAAGCCAAAAATTTGAAAGAGGTACAGGTCTTTTTAGACAATCTCAAAAATGGAGAACAAGTTAACTTTCAGAATAAAAATCAAGAGCTGCTAAGAGCATCAGTAAACGGCTGGCTGCACTTTGTCTGCCTGACCACCAGGTGGCGAGAGCATCGGCTTTCAGGCTTTCCTGGTAAGATTGCTGTGCTTGCAGATCGTGACCAACGTGTCCACTGGGTCTATTCAACAGGCTGATTCTATTCAACAGCTCTGCCTAGGTTTGTTCTACCTTCACCCTCACGTTTACATTCCTGCACATCTTTCCTTGTGAACAGCAATCATGCTGCTTTCCACTATCTTAGGTATTGCCAAAATAAACAACCTACAGATTCCAAATCAGGAGTTTCTAAATTATTATAAAAATCTGAGGGGCAAAAAATAATTTTGACTTTTTATCTCTAATTTCATGAACTTTCCCTTCAAATGACATGCAATTTACTGCATATACAGACTTGGTCATATGCCCTTGGGGATATCAAAATAGTCAGTGCAGTATCACAGAAATAAAAATGGATAAAAGAATCAAGCACTGTACTGGCCAATACAGCCAGCACCTGGGCGCACGAGGCTAAACACTTGGAAAGTGGCAAGTCAGAATGTACATGTAAAACATGTGCCGATTTCAAAGACAAAAAAAGCATGCACTATATCTCAATGATTGGTAATTTACACTGACTAAATGCTGAAATGCTAATATTTTTAATGTAATAGATTAAATAAAATATAAAATTAACTCTATTTGTTTCTTACTTTTGAATATGACAACTAGAAGTTTTAGTATTACATGGACAGTGAAACAGAAAATGAAGTCTCTCAGTCGTGTCCGACTCTTTGCGACCCCCTGGACTGTAGCCTACCGGGCTCCTCCGTCTGCACTGGAGGCAGACGCTTTTCCGTCCCAGCTACCAGAGAAGTCCTTGGTGTTACCTCTGTGCCTCATATATAACTCCGCTGGACGGCGCTGATGAAGAGAAGCCAAGTTCTCCTGTTTCCGCCACTGATTCACTCTTCAGGAAGTTACAGTTCCCAGCTCACTCTGACTCATGGTTTCAGTTTCTCAACACAGCTCACTCAACAAACACATCATCTGAGTGTCTACACTACAGCAGATAATACTGCTGAGGACGTCTACAAAAACGTGCACCTGCTCTACCGTCTGCCTCACACCACTACCGTGATATATATTCTCAGGTAGGGCAGTACCACCTTCACTTCCAAACCACAATGATAAGGAAGCACATTAGTGCTCATCTTAACAAAGATCTCTTTTATACAGGACATGCAGGGAAGTGAAACAACAATTTCCTGGTTTCACACTCAGTTGCTTAGGAATACGGAGTTACAAGTCAAAGAAGGGATCATTTACATTCAAAAGCCTCTGCTGTACAAAGACTCCAGTAGCTTCCTTTAATGTTTCCCTAAAGAGACCACAACATGTTTTATTTTAACCCGATAACACTTGACTTTTCATAAATACAGCAAAGTGGATGAAATGAAGTATACATGGGTCCTTGTTTCTTTTTTCAGAATTGTTTATTTCTAATTAAGCAGCTTAACATGAAACTCAAGAGACATATCTTGTCTATCAGTGGAGCCATACTGTGCTGACACTATCATCACTGACCTGTATCTCCTTCTCCCATAAATTTTATTTCCTTTAAAAAATCTCTCTGCATGACATATACCCACTACGTAGAAAACAGATTACTAGTAAGAATCTACTGCCCAGCATAGGGAACTCTCCTCAACACCCTGCAATGACCTGCATGGGGAAAGAATCCTAAAAGTGAGTGGATGTATGTATAACTGATTCACTTTACTGTGCCCTTGGTGGCTCAATGGTAAAGAATCCGCCTGCCAAGCAGGAGATGCCAGTTTGATCCCTGGGACAGGGAGATCCCCTGGAGAAGGAGATGGCAACCCACCCCAGCATTCTTGCCTGGGAAATCCCCTGGACAGAGGAGCCTGGCGGGCTACAGTCCAGGGGGTCGCAGACGAGTCAGACACGACCTGGCGACTAAACAGCAGCATTAACTGAGCCTCTCCGCTGCACACCGGACACTAGCACACTATGAATCTATGTCCCAGCAAAATTCAAATAAGTAAGTAAAGCCTCTCTCTATACAAGCCATACCTAAACCTGAGTCTGTTACCTCTGCAAGTAAGGGCGCTTTTCTCATTCTCTTCCTTGCCCACACTTTTCCCACAGGCAAAACACAAGCATGCACACGTGTGGCACACAGCACTGTCATCAGAATAGCTACTTCCACTCTGTTAAAGGGAACGCACAATAAGTGACCATAGGGCTTAGCAGGAAGGAACAAAGTCGGCTACTTATTATCTATTGCTAGCTTTTACTTTGCGCACAATTCCAGCTGAAATAAAAAAGACCCTGTGGTCTGCTAATAAACGCTTACTGATTTATATCAAAAGCTGTGCTTAAGTGACTTCTCTAGCTTCTCCTGTTGAGAGGTTTCTCACTCGTTTCCCTTTCTCGTCACAACTATCGATGTCTTGGATTTTACCACTTCACACCTGGATTTACGGAAACAACTGTGCATTAGGCTGACAAGCCTGGCTAGCTCACACTTGCAATACATCCCAGGCACCATTGCTAAATTTATCTTCTCAAAACAGCAACTTCACCTTGCCATTCTTCTGCCAAGAAATGTTCTGCAATTCCTTAAAAATGAAGTCAGATATCTTCCATCTGGCACTGCCCATTTCTGGCTCACACGTAACTCTTAGCCCAAACTTATCCTGTCTCTGTTCAGTCTGTCTCAACCTGAAGCACCTATCCATGCTTCCCCACCATGTGGAATGCTCTTCTGCATCTTCTCCAGCAAACCAAAATCTCATTCTTTATTTCTCCCACAAGACTCAGAGCCAAACTGCTCACATCCTTACTAGGCAGCAAGGCAAAGACTGACTCCCGAAAGGCAGACAGAACCCAGGTACCAATCCTACCCCTGACATTTATTCACTAGTTTGTGTGGACTTAAGTAAATCAGTTCCCTAAGCACAGACTCCGCTTTTTAAAAAGAGAGCTAAGAAATTATTCATAGAGTTGTGATGCACAAGCGAGATAACATAAATCATTACCATCATCAGCATCGTCATTCTAAAAGTTAACTTTAAGTGCTTTCCAAGCAAGATCTCATTTAATTCTAGTAACAGTTCCACAGTAGGTACCATTCCCTGATATTGTATATATGAGCAAACCTAAGCCCAAGAAGGTATATGAAAGTCTCTACATAGCAGTGGCTCCTCTATATTTATTAAATTCCTTCTTACGTTACCTAATGTGGACAGCTTTCATTTCCAGTACTAAATAACAAACTTACTCCCATGTGTCTTATCTCTTCAAGAGAAAAGGTTCTGTAAGACTAATCATCCAATACTTCCTTGTTAATCTATTAGACAGCACTCAATTTGAGGAGAGGATACTTTGTCTATTCTCCTCTATTTATATCAACAAAGAACACAGTATCTGACATGTATTAAGAACTCAAATCAAACTTAGCAGAATCAATTTCATCTAAGGAGTCAGAATACATGTGGCAGGGAGTGTTGGCTGTTCACCAAAATTACTATTTTCCTTTTCTTCCAGGGTACTCAGCTAGATCACATTTCCCTACCTCCCCTGCAGTTAGTGTAGCCATATGACTGAATTCCTGCCAATGAAAAGTAAATATAAGTGATTTATGCCAAGTCCATGTTGGCCCACTAAAACTTCCCAAGCGTACCCTTCCATGCTTCTCCCCTCCTCCCCAATATCTGTAAGATCAGAAAGGGAACCCCCAAAGTGACCCTGAAAGCTATGCGTTGAAAGTGACAAGAGCCTGCATCAAAGAATAACTGTTCCATCCACCCCAACAGTGACCAAACACACAGGCTTTGGACTATTAAGAGCAAGATATGGGGAGCTATTTATAACAGCTAACAGATTATTCTAATAGATGCAAAACAGTGGGTCCTGTTAAATGTTTGGGAACAAAGATCTGCTAAATAAAGTTAGCCAATACAAACTCTTTGGACAGTACTTACTGGCGTAGTGGGGTACATTGGGGGCTGTATGAAAAAGCTTGTGGATTCCATGCCCACAGTAACTTCGAACAACTGAAAATCCATTGGCTTGTGCGTGCTTCTGAATAATGTTTCCCAATTCTCTGTATCGAACACCAGGCTTTACTGAAAGGAAAAGAGAAGACTCGTGGCAAAAAGAAAGAATAACTGATAATTACTAAGCAATCACTGTCTATGCCAGGAACCATTCTGGTTTTACACGCCTACAAGTAAGACTTTCAAGATGAGGAAACCGAAGCTCAGAGAGGCTAGACTGCCGGGAAATGATGAAGCTGAGCGTCAAGCCAGCAGCACCTGGTTCCTCCTTTGCTGCAGAAGAGGAGGGTCTGTGCAGAGTCAGCGGCTGGGAGAGCCACCACTTGCTCTCTGAACAAAGAGATTGGAAAACACACTTCTCTTCCTCACCTTCTCTAAGGTCAGCGGGCTTTTCCATTAAAGCGAGCAGGAGAGATAAGAGAATAAAGAGCATCAGGAGAAAAAGGAACATTCATAAAGGAAACTGACCTCTCTTTAGTTTCAGTCTGGTCGACTTTTCAAAGAATTGCTTCCCCTGGGCATCTTTATCCCCATATAAGTGGTTCTCAAATTGTTCATTTGCCTCTCAAGAAAATCTTAGGAGTAGGAATGTAGAAAGGTACTTCTCACTATATACTTCCTGCCCTGTTTACTTTTCATGACTTTCACCATTGTTTAAATAAAAACCAGAAGAAGGGGTTCTTATTGCTGCTACGGCTCTCCTAGCACTGAGACCCCAGGATTTGGGCTCTGCTGGACTCGTGGGGGGTCCAGCCACGGTACTGGGGGTCCCCCCTCCCTACAGTCTCCTTCTCTGCCAGTTCATTTCCAACCTGAGGTTCAGACACACCATATCCTCTCCAGCCAATCACATTTCTGGGCAAATGGCTTAAGGAATCATTTTCATAACATTTACTTGCTCTTAACCATATGGACCATTGGGAGGTGGGGCAGGGGAAATTAACAATTTCTGAGGAACATGCTGACTTGCACAATGATTTTCTTCCATTCCCACCCAAGCCTTCTTACCAGCCCGTCAGCAGGGAGGAAAGCAAAATTTTAACCCATGCTGCACACACAATAAAGGAAATACCTGTACAACAATAATGATGCAGTGTGAGAATGGAGACTTCTCCCTAATTCTCAAGCCAGAGGCCATTCTGGTCCCAGGGGTGCACTTCATAGAATCTGGAGACGTTTTTGTGACCATTACAACCTGGAGAGGTGGTGCAACCGGCCTCCAGCGAGGAGAGACCAGGCATGCTGCTGAGCCTCCTGTGGTACATAGGACAGGCCCCCACGACAGCGTATCTGCAGACTCAACGCCACAGACGTGCAGGCTGAGGAGCCCTATTCTGGAAAGCTAATTTCACAGCTGGTTCAACTCTCCAGAGCTCTGAACCAGGGTGGGCAGTCAAATTATCAGGAAACGACAGACAGGAATGATCCATACACAGAACTTAACAGCACTTCCCAGAGATTAGCCAACTTCTACTCTTGGCTGTCTACTGTTTTAAAGATTTCGGTTCCTTGGCAAGTTTCATTCCTGCGACTTTGTAAAACAACATTCCAGCTATCTGGTTATTTCGATCAACTCATAGAAAAGCAAAAGGGATATAAATATTGAACACAGAAACTCTAAAAATTATTTAAACCTAAAGCTTCCAAAATAAGATACTAAATATTAAAGTTCTCATCTCACAATCCACTGTGAATATCAAAGTTTTCAAGTATAATCAACACTGAATGAAAAGGAAAGGAAAATCTCACATGCTGATATATAATCACATGCTTTCATTTTTCATTCCTCTGACTTTATTAGTAAAAATTACATCATCTCCTCTGTTTGCCTAAGAACCCTGTCCTGTCCTATACAGTGTAGATGATACATCAGATCTATTTAATAGTGGAGGCAGGGCTGGATAATACATGGACCAATAATGCTGAAATGCTATGGATTTCAACTGAAGAGTTGTTTGCCCTCAAACTGTCCTTCTAATAGTCTGTTTACATTTGCAACAAGCCTTTCTTTCTCTTTCCTCACAAGATATTGCATAAATTTTTAAAAACCATGGATGAACTGTTTGTATGAACAAAGACAGACACAGTCTGAGAAAAATCCCACAGAAATACACCTCACCAAAGACATTATTCACTATAATAGCAAGACATCTGGAAAACACCAAAATCCAGTAGGAGAATAGTTGTAGACATTTTTATAACGTGGAATAAAATATAAAGCAATTTAAAGAATGCATAGATCTATGCATGCAGGTATGTACATATTCTAATATGGAAAGATCTCTAAGATATTATTAGAGAATAAATTACAGAATACTACAAATATTATGATTCCATTTAACCTAACTAAACACATACATACAGTTATGCATAATAATGTACTGTGGAGAAAAAAACCTAAATGTTAAAAGTGGACACCTCTGGAAAAGAGATTTAAAAAAAAAAAAAAGGAGAGGCAAGTATAAAGGAAAATCACTCATTTTTTTCTCTCATAATCTGATGCAGTCTTACAGTTTTTTATAATAAGAGAACAGAACACTTACGAAAGAATTACAAAGTAGAAGAAAAGTTACAGTCCAGAACTATCCACACATTCTCCCCCATTTATCAGCCAATGAAAAGGAAGATAAATCATAGACGAGACAAAGCAATAATCCAGTCCATCTTCAAGGGATTCTCAAGTCACCTTTAAACCTACTGCTGCCAGACCCAAAGCTAAGTCGGGTAGGGCAGAAGCACAGCTGGAAGGGACAAGGCATGCATGGTGCAGTGACAGGTCGCTCGAGGCCCACACGACTCAGCAGCTTCAAGGGCGCCCAGCACTGAGCCTCACCTGCGTCAATGGCTTGCATCAGGCACTCATACGTGGTCTGAACCAGTTTCCGAGCTCCCTCATCCACGTCTCCAACAAAAAATGTCTCATTCAGGTCCCCATGATAACCATTCCGATAAAGAGTGATGTCCACTGCAAAAGAATGTGCAAACATAAAGACCACATTCATTTTTATCTCAAAATTCAAGTTTTGCCGACATGACAGAATCAAGCAGGTTAATGAAGAAGATAACTTCTAAGCAACACCAATCAATAAATAACTTAACACCCAATAGATATTTCCTGTCTATAATACACCTAAACTCACTGTAGAGGACAGGTCCGTGGTCACGTAGCACAAGCCCGATGGGGCTTCAATGCTCTTAGAGCAGCGTTTAGCTCGTTTATGGCAAAAGAATAATCTATCCCCCAGGATACATTCCAGCAAGATCAATAACCCAAGTTAATAACATTAAACGAAGGACTCTGCCACCCTGTGACATTAAACAGAAAATACTGCTTTCTCTCATTATCTCTAACAAGTTTTTCCTCATCCTATTCAATCAATAAACAGAAACATTTACACTGTTCTACAATTATTTTTCAAAAACTCATTTGCCTCACTTATTTGTGACTATTCATACTTCTCTGTCTTCATATTTAAAAATACAGGTTACCACTACACCACTAAGCTACACTAAGCTAAATGTATCTTTAAGAGGACACTGAATTAGTATTTTTAAACCATAAATCTTCAATCAAGTTATAATATCACAGTGTTGTACTGTTGTACTCTGTTGTACTGGCTCTAGCACAACACACACATTCCTGAAATACCTCATATAATATGCATGAATGCAAAAAAAGAGAGCTTATATGTAAATTAGCATTGGGCAGACCTCTCAAAATCTAGGGAGTTTTATAAACTGATACTCCAACTGCAGCAAAAACAATCCAGATAAAACTGTCAGTCAAGTCTCCACTACCATTCACAGCCAGCATCACAGCTGGTCCATTCTCTGCAGCCTTTAACACTTGGGCTCATGCTCCCTTGTTGGATACATAGATTCTTGAAGGTATCTGATTATTAAAGAAACCAAGTTCATCAATATTAAAAATATCATCGAGGGGAGCCTAACTCATCAGTTTATTTTTTAATTACAGACGGAACTGTCTTGGCAGCTTCTTTCTTTGCACTCGCAGTTTCCCAAAATAGCTTAACACAGTGGTCCCTAAAGCCACTTTCTGAACTTCTTAATTCTTAACATCAAGGACAGTACTTCTGCAGAATTTTGAGCCTTTTTTCTTAAGGTTTTCACATATTACTAATAAATTCTCTTTATCTGTAACAGTGGACTAAAAGGAGTAAGAAAAACAATCCCACTTGAATCAATTATTAGTTCCACATTTCACTGACATCCTCCATTTACCAGTCACATATTAAAGTTCTGCATTAAAGAACTTGTAACAAACACATTATATTAGAAGTATCTTAAAAGCAGTTAACTAAAACCACAAAATAGGTTTCCAGAGATTTTAAGTTTTAAATATGAAAAAAAGTAAGTTAAAGACAAGTGAAGAAAATGCAAGTCTCTATCAGGCTCCCAAAATCTTGTTTCTTTGCTCACAGCAACAAAAGCCGCACATTTCTTACCATTAACAATATCACCTTCTTGCAAGGGCCGTCTGTCTGGAATTCCATGGCAAATCACTTCATTCACTGAAGTACAACAAGACTTCGGGAAATTATAATAATTCAGGGGTGAAGGATAGCAATTTCTTGCAATGCATGCCTATAATAAATTAAAAATAGGGTAATTTGGAATGTGCAAAAGAAAAAGCTAGTATGCATGCAATTAATCAGATTTTAAAATTTAAAAAATGTGGAAAAATTTGTTGTACAGATGTTCCTAATGAAAAACCTATTTAATATTTTATTTTAGAAATAATAGTAGATACTACCTTTAATATAAAACAGTAGGGCTTCTAACAGTCACCAAACCAGTTTACTGATAATTGCAAAAGCAATTCACGCATGACAATTATTTACAAACATATACAAATGTCATTATATGAAGATTTATTTTAGAATTACTGACTCCTTATGAAAAATACATTAAAGTAAATATTAATGTGCACAGTTAATTTTAACTTCTTATATAAATGCCTCTATCCCTATGAACAAAAAAATGAGTACTAGTAATAATTAAGAATCTGCCAATCTGCCTGCAACGTGGGAGACCAGGGTTCAATTCCTGGTTCAGGAAGATCCCATGGAGAGGGGAATGGCTACCCACTCCAGGATTCTTGCCTGGAAAATTCCATGGATGGCGAATTCCATGTATACTGGCACTCCTGGTGTACTGCCATCCATGGGGTCACTAAGAGTCAGACACGACAGAGCAACTAATGCTTTCACTCTCAAAGCATCTCCAGAGACATTCATACAGAACATTCATACGGAACAACATTCATGCGGGAACAACAAAGGAATCACTAAGAAAACGATCTAGTTCTCCATAAACAAGCCTTATGTTACTTGGATGTTTTGATCCAATGGTAGTCACGGCATACGTAATTTCTCTTTCCATATCACCGCAGTCTTCAGACTAGTAATTTTAAACAGCTGCCTAAAATACAGTTTGTGAAATGCACTATAATTTTATTGGTAATTCTACTATTACTGAAAATTTAGTTTTTTCAACTATAAATATTATAACCAATAACTACATGCCTATCATTTTTCCTTTAACAATCTGCTTCTATAATTCTCACAGCAGTACACATAGTAGTTAAGAACACACAGAAGCACACTGTGTTGGCTAAAAATGCCAGCTCCAGTACTTTCAATTTGAATAACCATGGGCAACTTAACCTCCCTCTGCCTCAGTTTCCTAATCTGTAAAATAGAGATGACAGTAGTACCTACATCAGAGTTGCTGGGAGATGAGACGAGTTGGTAAAAGAAGCACATAACAGTACCTGGCCTATAGGAGGCATTCAAACTGCTACTGGTGCATAACCATATACAACCCTGGGCCATGGCAGGTGGGGGGGGTGGGGGCAGTGAGTGGGCACAATGAGCCCCTCCCTGCCTAGTCCAAAATCCACATAAAACTTGACTGCCCCCCAAATTTTACTAATACACTATGGCTGATCTTACCAAAAACAGAAATTAACACATACTTTGTATGTTATATGTATTATACACTGCATTCTTACAATAAAGTAAGCTAGAGAAAATATTATTTTAAAAATCATAAGAGAAAATATATTTACAGTACATATATATATTTACTAAAAAAAATTCACATATAAGGCCCATGCAGCTCAAATCCATGTTGTTCAAGGGTCAACTATACTTTATAATATATTGAATACCCCAAAATTAGGATTTATAATTTCAAATAAAAAAAATGTTATGGACATTTTCATAGCTCAAGACACATTGTCAAGTATCTTTCCAAAAGGATAGTCCCGATTTAAATCCCATCACCATGTAAAAGAGTACCAGTTCCACCATCTTCACAGAGGTAGTGGACATAAATATCTTTAAAATACTTCCTAATTTAGAAGGTTTTATGACTTGCATTTGTTTGATTAGGAGACCAGGGTTAATTAGCCTTCCACGTGATTTAGTTACTAGTTACTGCTCTTCCATTATGAACAACCTAACCATATCATGTGTGCACTCATCTACTACAGGGCTTCAAGGTCTCTCCTTGGTGGATAAGCAATCTTTCTTTTAAGAAGTATACCGGGACCTCCCTGGTGGTTTCGTGGTTAGGAATCTACCTGCCAAAGCAGGGGACACGAGTTCGATCACTGGTCCGGGAGGATCCCACACAGCATGAGACAAGTGAACCCGGGCAGCACCACTACTGAGCCTGCACGCCTGGGGTCCAAGTTCCACGAGAGGAGCCGCCGCAGCGGGGAGCCCGTGCGCTGCAGCGGAGCAGCCTCCTGCTCGCCAGCGCCAGAGAAGGCCTGTGCTCAGCACCCAAGACCCAGCACAGCACAGTCAAAAAAACTAAATTTAAAAAAAATTTTTTTTTAATATCCCTATACTATATTTACTACAAACATGTGTCTGGTCTCTTTGTAGCCTTGTTATTGTAAATAGACAAAAAAAAGGAACATTTTTTACCACTAGTTTCAGAAGTTATATTCTTTTTGACTTCAGAATATTTGACACATGCAGTAGCATGATTTACCTAAAAGCACTAATAAAATTAATCATCTTGTAAAAGCTAAACTAAAATGTTATGAAATGTGAGGTTTCAGAAACAAGGTACTTGGGGCTTACCTCAGATCCCAATATCAGATACTTACAGATGGGATAATGTCTGTTGAGGACTTTTTAATATTTGAAACAAAGTGAAAAATTTGCTTTCAAATAAGTTTTTAGCCAAGTGTAGATATTCAGAACTTAGGTTTACTTTATTTACAAGTCTGAGACATCTAACAGTATAAAAAAAATTCTTAAAAGCATAAAAGTAAAATTCTTACTAAGTGTACAGCATGATCTATTTCTTCAGTAGTTACACCTGGTTTAATCATCCCAGCGGCAATGTCCAATACTTCTCTAGCAAGCTGTAAAAGAGAAACACTTCATACATTCAAGAAGAAATGAAGTAGCATTAGAAATCTGTACCCTCTGTACTAACTCAGATTTTATGGGGTACTGACAAAATGAATCTCACCTTGAAAATTATAATCCTGAATTTTTATTTTATAACCATTTACATGTATTTCTAACATATTTCTAATACCCATTAATAAACATGTATGTATGTCTGTGTAAACATATAAATAAAATTGGTCTAGCTAGCAAATAGTTTAATTAGTACATTTGACTGATTTCTATGTGAAAATGTACACCTTAAGTAATCTAAACAATAATCAAGTGATGAAGTTTGAGGCTTCTCACAATTCTACAATGGAGAAGAGAGGGAAATAAAACAATAAGATAAATGATTTTCATCAAAGAGCCACAGCAAATAACTATCACATAAAGAATGGATGGAGAACAGGGTCCTACTGCATAGTACAGAAAACTATATTAAATATCCTGGAATAAACATAATGGAAAAGAATATAAAAAAGAATGTATACATAACTGAATCACTGAGATATACAGCAGAAATTAATCTTACAACATTGTAAATCAACTATACCTTAATAAAAATTTTTTTTCAAAAAAAAAATATATATATATGTATGGCCAGTCACAGTCTTACTATGTAACATCTGCCACCTTTGTACATGAGCAAATCATTGACTTCATGTGTTATAACTACTTAAACAAGTCCTAGCCTAGGAGGAGGGGAAAACTCTTACCCGACATACGAGCCGCATCCCTTCTATATCTTCAGATGAGAGTAACTTAATCTGAGAAGTACCTTTAAGAGCTTGCTCAGATTCAGACATTCCTGAAAAAGAAAATCACTAAGTAAAACCAAAATGAACAAAAAGATGTAGTATATAAAAACATAATTACTCCCCAATGATAAAATAATAGTCAAGTCTATTTCACACAATGGTATAATATGGGAGGGTCCAAGTAGAGTTTCTGAAAAAATACTTTCAACATGAAATTTGCTAAACAAACTGAAGGAAGAATTCTAAAGAACAAATTTTCAGATTTATTAGAAATCAGTCAAGATGGCATATTTATTATCTGACAGACAGTGTGTTAATAAGGTCAATAAATGATTTACATTTGAATAGCACCATATAATTAATATATGTGTTTTCATGATCATCTCCTTATGTAGCAAGTATATATCAACAACTGATGAATTAATTACACTCATTTATTTTTTAAAACTGGAACCTGTCAGTGTTTTTCAAACTGCGACTTGTGATCATTTAGGGGCTATTAGAGGGCTATGACTCAACATTTTTTTTAAAGTAAATAAACTGAACAGAAAATAGACTATATACAGGCTGTTGTGAAATGTTTGGCTGTTAATTTATACACACACACACATATATATATATAGATTATAAAATACAGTTTTCACTCTGGTTCACGATCCAAAAAAGTTTGAAAAATATTGCCCTAAGAATTTTCACTAATAAAATCAGCTTAATTTATTCATATACTGAAAAGCATTAAAGCTAGTATAATAACAATTTCAAAATCTGACAAAAAGACTATAACCATAAACTACTCTTTATAAATGCTGATATAAAAATCCCAAATAAAATATTATCTAACAGAATCCAAAAAACACATAGTACATCATGAATTGAGTGAAATTCATATTGGAAAGACAGGGTTAATTCAATATTAACTATCAATATAACTCATCATAGTCACAGATTAAAGAATGGAAAATAAATGATCATCTAAAAAGATAGCTCTGATAACACAGCCAGCTACCACCTTTACATGATAAATACAAATCTCAAGCCAAGAACCAACATCATGGAATGCCCACTATCCGCACTAGTATTGTTAGCACCGTTCTGACAATACTGCAGATGTATTTAACTAGAGAAAGAAATAATACATATAAACTTAGAAAGAAAAGGACAAAATCTTTATTAATTTCAGATATGATTATATATCCCTAGAACAGGGAATACCTGGAAAATAACTAGATATAAGAATTCAACAAGTTGGCAAAGTATAATATATAAAAATCAATAACTTTGCCATATACAAAGTGAAAGTGAAAGTTGCTCAGTCGTGTCCTATGCAACCTATGCATGACTTTGCAACCCATGGACTGTACAGTCCCTGGAATTCTCCAGGCCAGAATACTGGAGTGGATAGCCGTTCCCTTCTCCAGGGGATCTTCCCAACCCAGGAATCAAACCGGGGTCTCCTGCATTGCAGGCAGATCCTTTACCGACTGAGCTATGAAAACAACAAATCAAAAAATACAGAAAATACTATATTCACAAGAATAACTTAAAAAGATAAAATATCCAGGAATAACTTAATGTTAAAAGACCTAATGAAGAAAATTTTAAAATACCACTGAAAGACATAAAGGAGACTTAAATAAAATAGAAAAACATACCCTGTTCTTGGATAGGAAGACTCAATATTGTAAAGGTGTCAATTCTTCCCAAGTTAGTCTATAAATTTAATACTATCCCCATAAAAAATGGTAATAGGACATTTTTAGAAACCAGACAAGCTGATCCTAAATTTCACATGGAAAAACAAAAATGTCAGGAAAATTCTGAAAAAGAGGAAAGATGGGAGCAACAAGGCCTACCAAATATTAAAACACTCTATAGCTATAATAATTAAGAGTTTGGTAATGGCATATGATTAGACAAATAGGTTAATGAAACAGAACAGAATCCAAAAATAGACCCAAAGATATATGAAAATATAATACAGTGATATAGGTTACATTTTAAATCAGTAAGAAAAAGACTGATTTTTAAAAACAACCAGTGACGTGACAACCAGATATTCTTCTGGGAAAAAATTAAATTGCAGCCCTACTTCACTCCTAATAATAAATAAGTTTCACATGGGCCCAAAATTTTATCACACACACAAAAAGAGTAAAATCACAGAAATAGTAGAAGAAAACATAGGAAAATATTTTTATTATCTCTGAACCAAAAAGGTTTTTCTAGGTCGTAAAGCCATAAACACCTTAAAAGAATACACTGACAAATTTTACTACAAAATAATGTTGAAAGTTTGTCATAAACATAATGTTATAAACAAAGACAAAAATGTAAGTATCTGCTTGGCAGAAAACATTTTATAGTACATCAAGAGATTATTTTCCTCAATATAGAAAGAACATTTGTAAGTCAGTATGGAAAAAACTAAGTAATCTGAGAGGGGGAAAAAAGGCTAAGGATATGAATAAACAGTTCAAAAGGAAAAATACAAATGATCTTTAAAAGTAAAGAGATGGGGACTTAAGACTCCCAGTTCTCAATACAGGGGGTCCGGGTTCAATCCCTGGGAGAGCAGAGTCTGAGGCATTGGACCACCAGAGAAGTCCCTATCTGTGTACTTTTTAAAGATACAATTTAAAACTATACTCTAGAATATCAAATACACTGTAATAAAATTATACATCCTCAACAGTATTCTATCACTCAGACTCTTTCCCTTCAATTTATCTGAAACAATGGAGTTTACTTACATTTTCAAATTAGATTCAAAAGAACTTAATACAGTTTCTTTTTTTCTTAGAGAAGAAAAGCAACAGTAGCTTACTTTAGTAGATTAAACCACATGAAAAACGTTGATATTCAACCATTTTTGACATGCAAACTCAGCAATTTCACAGAACCTATGCTGCAAATTGGGCATTCCTGGCGGCTCAGTGTTAAGAATCTGCCTATAATGCAAGAGACTGGGGTTCAATCCCTGGGGAGGGAAGATCCCCTGGAGTAGGAAATGGCAACCCACTCCATTATTCTCGCCTGGAGAAGTTCCATGGCAAGAGGAGCCTGGTAGGCTACAGTCCATGGGGTTGCAAGAGATGGACACGACTTCTCAACTAAACCACCACCATGCTGCAAATTACCTATCTTCTCTGTGTCTCACTGTATTTAACTATAAAATGGAGAATACAACAGAACCCACCTCAGGAGTGCTGAAAGCATAAAATGGAGTAATACACGTAAAGAAGTTGACACAATGCTTGACACACAGTTATGAAAAAATAAGTATCAATTATAGAATCATCAGCATCACCACTACTATTATTGTCATCCCATTACTACTATTTCTATTACTGCTACAGAACAGAGTCTTCAGTTAGGCATGCACTCAGGGCCTCCACCATCTGTTTTTATCTAAACAGGTATTATGTAATTAAGGCAGGAGAACATGTTAAAATAACTTTTTTTAAAAGCTATAATTTGATATAACAACACAAAATACAGTATTATGTTGGATGTAGCCTTTAACAGCTATATAAACAATGTCTTCAGAACTGATTAGATTTCTAGAGTGAAGAAATAATTTTTAATTCAAATATTCTAGTTTATCTTGAAAAAAAAAAATAACAGAAATGCAGCAATGAAAATTGTCTACTAAAAAGGTACTCTTTTCCTTCGTAGTAGTCATCAAGCACACAAACTGAAAATATGAAGAAACAGCATAGCAGAATTTACCTAAAGGGTGATCAGCATAATCTGGTCTTTGAATATAACTTGGCACTGGCCTTGTTGGCATCTAAAAACAACAAAGAGGTTAGCTGGATCCGATTCAAATGTGAAAGTAACTTTCATTATTAAAATCTACTAACAATGCAAATAAAAGTGGGGGAATAAATACCAAATAAAAAAGTTCATTCATCTCATTTTTTTAAAAAAAAAAAGCTTTACATGACATCTTAAATACCACAACATATCTGTTTCGTGAAGACTAAGCTTTACTTTCCTGGTGCTATTGTCATGCCCTTTCCCAGAATACGTAAGTGATTGAGAGTGATGGAGGGCACTGAAGACCCAAGATTACACGCAGACAAGGCAGGCGCCTGTGTTGCTCCAAACAAACTGGTGAACCAGAATAATAATGAAATGATGTCTCAAAGTAAATGTACACCATTATGTTCCTGGTCATTATCTCTGGAAACTACAATTAAAGAGACTTTCTTATAGTTTTTCCAAATTTTAAAAATTAAAGATGTACTTCTTTAATAAAAAGACAACAGTAAAAAGAATTTAAATATTTGAGAATGACAAATTCCAACTTAATTCAATTCCAAGGTTAAGATTCTGAAGTCAGTCTGCCAAGAACATAGGAAGGAGCAAGAGTGGCAGAGAAGTCTTATCTAAATTAAAGTAGAAATATATCACAGTAAAGCTTTTTAGAAAAGTAGTAATATATACTCCTATTATGCTGGCCTAAAAATATCTATTCTACCTCATTCTTTTTTAAAAATTAAAAGTAGTCTTGATCCTTAATCTAAAATTTCTTCTGCTTCATCCATGACTGGCAATTATTCCTACTAACTAGTAAACAACATACCATAAAAGCTAAAAAGTTAGAATGTAACCTTAATCCTGATCACATGATTCATAATTGGAATACAAATTATAAGAACCATTTTTAGGAAACTGAAAACTATGAAGACTGGTTAAAAAAATATTAAATTTGTATTACCTTATTTACTCACCAGTGGATAATGGGGTCTGAGTTTTCCAGTATATCGATAACCTGCCCATGGATCAGTGTTGATATCCCCTTCTACAGTCCAGGAAGACACTTCTCGCTTGGCTTTTTCATCTTCTAGGATATGGATGGATGAATGACAGAGAGAAACGCCTCAGTGCTCAAGCTACTAAGCAGCAGCATGCTTTTAACAATCACATACTTGAAAGCCAAGCCAAAGAGCCCAGGCACAAAATCAAGCAAACTTCCACCTTAACCTGAATCCCCAAAATACTACGTTCTTGCTCTATCCACAACCCTCTGACTCCTGAAAGATCTAAGTGTTTGGGGAGAAAAAGCCCCAACTAAACATATTGTCAGTTTTTACACAATGCTGAACAGGAACAGCACATGGTCAAACTCCTTTTCTCAAATAAATGCTAAGTGCATTCTCTCTACAATGTCAATTTATAGGAAGCCTGTTTTTTGAAATATAAGATGTGAGCCTAGGCAAAACTTCCCAGCTGAGGGCAGACATTATGAATGGGTTCCACGTTTTTACTAAAAGAACAGATTCTAAATAATTCCCAAGCAAATTTAAAGTTAAAAAAAAAAAAACTTCTCACTTAGCTGATGACAGACTGTCAAGTAAACATTTTAAGCTGCTTTGAAAATTTTATGAGCATCGTTTGCTTTTTTTCAGGAAGGAGGTAACAGAAGGGAGTAGGAAAAGGCAAAGATGGGGGAGGGAACAATCAATCAAAAGTTATTGAAAATTCACTAGAAACATAAGAACCAAAGACCCCACTACCAGGTTAGTTAATAATATATAATGCTGCATTATGTGAAATGCACCTTAAATCTTTTTCACACAGAACATAACCTCAGTGGTATCTGAGCACACTGCTCTATCTACAAACTAAAATAGAACTACTAACATGAGACTTTAAACAGCAGGAATTCAAACCCCTCCCACACCAAGTAACAGCCTATATACTTCTCAGTGAATACCAATCTTTTCCTGATTACTGTTACACTATCACAGGTTTTAACAGTCAGGCTTCAAATGATTTTAGAGAAAAACTCCCCCTTAAGTGATCTATTTAAAATACAAAATGGGAGAATAGATATCATTTTAAGCTAAAGAGGAATGGTGAAATGAGTAAAGGTGGTCAAAAGGTACAAAAATCCAGTGTGATAAGTAAGTGTGATAAGTAAATCCTGGGGATATAATGTACAGCATGGTGACTAAAGTTATCAACAACAACAGAGAAAGATAATCCAGTCTCAGTTTCTCATTTTACAGATGAGGGAACAGGGGAAGTTTGGTTCACATAGGCAGAGAAATGTGGAAATGCTGCTTTCTAGTACAGTATTCTCTCCACAAAGCACGTGGTCAACTTGGGAGTGAAAGACCCTTGACGTGCAATTGACAAGAATGCAAAAATACAACCAATCCATTCACACTATTTGGGAAGAAAATAGAATTATAATAGTATTTATGAAGTAAAAGAATAGAAAAGAATAAGAAAAGAGGAAAAAAAACCTCTACTACGCTACCAAATTTTAGGTATTTTTCTCCCCTATGAAGTTCAAGAAAGCCTCTGTGAATGCTAATGTCAACAGGAAAGCTGTTTTTCATTCCAGGACAAAAATGGACTCTATTCATTGCCACTGGGGTCAAACATTATAGTGAAGTGAAAGTGAAGTCGTTCAGTCGCATCCGACTCTTTGCGACCCCAAGGACTGTAGCCCACCAGGCTCTATCCATGGAATTTTCCAGGCAAGAGTACTGGAGTGGGTTGCCATTTCTTTCTCCAGGGGATCTTCCCGACCCAGGGATCGAATCCGGGTCTCCCGCATTGCGGGCAGATGCTTTAACCTCTGAGCCACCAGGGCTATCTTTTAAGACACCCTGGTTGCTTCCCAGCCCAACCCTATCTCTTATTTCTTTTTTCCCCTATTCCCTTTCTCATTACTCATCTTAGCTCTGGAGATCATCTTTCCCCATACCATCCCCACCTCTAAGACTGTCACTCACTATGGTTATTAGGGCATGAAAAACACAGGACCTGAGGGCTGACTCTACCCAACACCACCCAAAGGGATCAAGAATATTAGGCTCACCCAGTGAACCTAAGCCCATCAGATCCAAGAGGGCACAATCTGCAACACGACATCATACTAAACTCCAGAGATATGTGTAAAGCACAAGTAGTTTCAGTCCAATACAGTAAAAATTACTAGGGAACACCAGCTGTTTAGCTGTCTTGCATTATAAATCATAATGAAATAGTTCTACCTTCAGAAATCCAATACTGAAGAAACAGGCACAATTCAATGAGCTGGCAAACACTTGGGGAAGAGACTCAAATCAAGTTCTTTTAGGTGACTCAAATCACCTCAATCCTTCAGTTCCCTATGCTTTAAGTTCCTGGGTGTCTGCGTGCATGTTAAGTTGCTCACTCACATCTGACTCTTTGTGACCCCATGGACTGCAGCCCACCAGGCTTCTCTGTCCATGGGATTCTCAAGGCAGGAATACTGGAGTGGGTAGCCATGCCTTCCTCCAGAAGTTTCTGGGTAATAAAATTTTAATAATTGGCTCAAAGAGCTCTAAAATTACCTAACACATCTGATGCACAGTATTTAAAGTATGAGTAAATAAAATAAAATGGCAAAAAAATAAAATAAAACAGAGTGGCATATTTAAACTTATTTCTATCTTTTAATTTGAGGTAACAAATCCTATCATTTATGTTTTTTTAAACTCATTTACTCACAATCACTTTTCCTCATCTCTAACCATATTTCCTCCCACAATAGCCTTAGCACTTCCACTAAATGCAGACTTCACTTTATATAACCACAGAATGTCTTTTTAAATTTTTATTTCCTTTTCCTTCAAATGGTGGTTAAATTGATTTCAATGAGATTTGGAAGGTATATAAATATAAAACAATCCACCAAACTTTACTAAATCAGCAAATTCCTTAAAAATACAAAGTAGATGAACTAACAATACCAAAATCAGTTAAGTTGAAAAAGAAACCTTATACCAAGAACCATATACTGTCTGCCAGTCCTTCATCCATCAGGATGGCAATGCTATAAGAACAAAAAGTCCCTGTCAATTTCCCAAGTAATTGTGATGAGTTGTCTTGAGCTAGCCACCCTAAAGGCTTAAATTTATAGGACCAGTAGCCAAAGCAGGACAGCAATAGCTAAAGAAGCAGCCAATAGTTTCACTTTGTGGTGTTTCACAAAGGAACTTCAAAAAAGAAAATTAAACATCAGGCTACAAGCAATAACATTAAAACACCAAAAGAACAAAGTGATACAATTCTGAGTTAGACAAAGCAATTGAAATTGACACTAGACAAAAAGAAAAGAAATCTGATTAAAAGGAGCTCCCTTGCCCCTGCCTGCAACTTGCAAATGCTTCAAGTACAGGAGAGGGACGGCACCAGATGCCAAGGTCAGGACACTCTGGTGCTGCTCAAGCCAATCCAACTATCACAGCAGTCATCTTGTGTTTTCATGCTACATATGCAATACAAGATTAACAAAGGTACTGCTCAGTCATATTTTACTTACAGGATTGAATACCACAAAGCACAAAATTGTCCTAATTCTAGCTTCTGGGATTACACTGCCAGAACATTCAAATACACACTTAAGGGAGCTGGAAGAATTCTTGTCTTCTGCAAGAAGTCACTTCTAAGAAAAATAGTATAGAGATGTGTAACTTTACTTACTTGCTTTCTTATGCAGTAACTTGTGAGTTGCCCAACTTCCTTTAAAACATTCCTAAAAAGAACAAACATGAAAATCAGCATCACTTTCCTTACCTGGAAACATTTCAGTCATAGTTATATTTCAATTTTATGTTATCAAATTATTTTGAAGTATTTGAGAAGAACCCTGAACCAATGGAGCAATCATACACTAGGAGGAAAAAAAAAATAAGGAAAAATGTGCAGATTCCCCCATGATATAGTAGTTTGATTCCCAGTTCATCATATATCACTACTATGTTAGTATATCCCAACACAGATAACCAAAGTGAATTTTATGTTCTACAGACAATGCAGTAATTTTAAATGCTTGTTCAGGGCTATATATAATATCTTATATGTCCAAATATTCAAATGCAGTTTGAGACTAGAAAGTGAACATCTTTAATGTTTAATGATACCATCTAGGCTGAGTATTCATTTCACTGTATCAATTCCTATAGTGCAATACTTCACTTTTTCAGACCACTGACTCCTTTGAGAATCTTGGGAAAGTAACCATTCTCCACAGGAAAAAATATATCTATGCATATATCTATACATACAATGTACAGAGTGCCCTGCAGGTATAACATGCACTGTATACTGATATGAATGAGTGGATGTGTATGCATATGTTTATATGTACGCAGGTGCTGGGCATTCGGTAGTAAGCAATACAGGTCCATTTGAGACAAATATTACATGGCTAATTACACAATTAAATACATAGTTTAATCCTAAGGAAGCCTATGGGCTTCTGTGGTGGCACAGATGGTAAAGAATCTGTCTGCAACACAGGAAACCCAGGTTCAATCCCTGGGTCCGGAAGATCTCCTGGAGGAAATGGCAACCCACTCCAGGATTCTTGTCTGGACAATTCCATGGACAGAGGAGCCTGGTGGGCTACAGTCCATGGGGTCTCAGAGAGTCAGACACAACTGAGCAACTAACACTTTCACTTTCTTAAGTCCTAAGGGCTAAAAAGTAAAATACACAGTGCTATGAGAAGAGGTAGAACACAGGAACTAAAGATAGAGGCAGGAGTCAGATCACGTTGAAGAGTCCTAATGATAACAAAAGCCATTAAAGGATTTTAAACAAAGGAACAACCTGATGATAACTTGGTTATACATCCCTGATCTCCATCAACAAATCCAAAATTAGAACTCCGTTAGTACACAGAATGGTTCTGAAGAACTCCAAAACACCGGCTTTTAATAGAGGCAATCCTCGCTATGCATGGTAGTGTAGAACCATTAAAAACCATTGGACAATCTGTAACCATAAAAAGCAATCTTCAAAATCAACAGCAAAAATTTAAGTTGTTCCATGACCTTTAAAACTTTTTGCCAACACATTAAAAACTCTCTTACTCTAGGTTATAAATATATAGGAAACTGGAAAATTTGTTTAGTATATTGCAATTTAAAACATTAGTTGTGTTGAAAATTAGAGTATTTTACTTTTTTATTCAAAAACTTATCAGATGTACAGCAGAAACCAACACGATACTGTAAAGCATTATCTTTCAATCAAAAATATATACGTTAAAATGTTGGGGGAAAAGTCTGATCAGGATTAATCTGAACCTGTGTGCCGCCTTCTCACTGAGTAACTCAGCAGATGGAGTGAGCATCTTTCTCATGCTTGGTATACTTTCTAGGTTTGCAACCGTTTCCACACTTTATCCTTTGCACCTTAAATACCTCTGAGAGTTCCTTTAACGCAAAGCTCTTATTGATGTCCCTGCCCCTAAGACACTAGTGATTCTTTTCATCACAACCATTTTCCTCATTTATAACAACCAGCCTGTTTCTGAGTTCCTCTGACTGCTCATCTCGAGTCTCTAGAATGGTGGGCAGTGTCAACATCCCCACAGTCAGCTATTTCTTCTACAATTCCATTTATGTTCCACTTAGGTTTCACATCCAGCACTAACACCTAAGCGTTTCTTTGCTGCATTTTCTTCTTAGCCAATCCCTTCTTTCAATGAGTCACTTTTGTAAAGTGTCATATAAGTTTATCACTGGAGAACAAGAAAGCTAGGCAGCTACGGACTCTACTTTCTACAAGAGAACCAAGCAACAGACGCCCAGGGACCAATCACTGACAGGCTTTGAAAAAAGTAGAGGGGCTGGTCACTCACTAATCAAGATGCAGGGCTGTGATTTCCGAGGTCATCTGAGGAATGAATAGCTAGCGGTAAAGTCTCATGTACTTTGTGTCATTACCCATGTGGTTGGGAGACTGATTTTAACTAATCTGAGGTTAACTAAATTTATGCATATCAAAATTACAAAATAAGATCTTCCTTTATATAATTGTCAACCTGATACAACCTATTTATAAAGCTTTTCTAAATAGGTTATGTGAACAAAATACTTTTGCCTCACCCAGCATCTTTTTTTACCCTCACAGAAGCTGACGCATATTTCCTTAAATAAAATAACATCTCTGTCCCAACTGATTCAATTTAGAGAACACAGAAGTTTACATACCAATTTAAATCAAGAAAAGGAGGGGGAAAGAACATCAGAGAGGAGAGGTAAAAGAAGCACTTAAAATGTTACCAAAAATTCACCGCCTACTTATTACTAAGGATAATACATACTTCATAAAGGGCTTGTAAGTAGGAACAACTTAAAACTCACATGCTTTTCTAAACTAAGTTTCAGGCAATGGCAAAAATCATGGACTTTTGAGGTCAGCCCTGTACCCTAGCTTGATCACTTATAAGCTGTACAACATACAGGAAAAAAATCTTAATCTCTCGTAAGTCCCACTTTCCTCAACTGTAATGTAGGGAAAACTGTGTAAAAATGTGTGGTCAATAACAAGTGCTCGATTCTAATTATTATCCATTTTATTATTTTTAAAAGCAATTTAAATTTGGAATTTGAAAAGATGGTACACCTATATACCTTCAATGTGTGCATCAACCCTGCCCTGAATTCTTAGCTGATGAAAACTTATGGCCATTAGGCAGCTAGCGATGACTGTGGGCTTTGTAGCTAATGAGCATCACCGTTCCGGCTTCTCTCATGGCTCAGTCGGTAAGGAATCCACCCACAATGCAGGAGACCTGGGTTTGACCCTGGGTTGGGAAGATTCCCTGGAGGAGGGCATGGCAACACACTCCAGTATTCTTGCCTGGAGAAACCCAGGAGGAGCCTGACGGGCTACAGTCCCTGGGGTGGCAAAGAGTCAGAAACAACTGAGCGACGAGGCACAGCCCAGCATCACTGTTCGGGGAACCTGCGCACCACGGAAGGGGATCCAAGCGTGGGAATAACCTGGAGTTTGAACAGACTTTCCGGCCCAAACAGCAAAGAACACAGAACAACAAACAGCCTGCCAGTTCAAGGGGTGTGAGCACAACCTGTGACTAACCTTTGGCAGAGTTACAGGCAGTGCAGACACAAAAGCAAATAGGAAGGCAGGTTTGGTTTTTTTTTTAATTTAAAAAACACTGAGCTTGGGAACTCCCTGGTGGTCCAGGGGTTAGGACTCAGCGCTTTCACCGCCCTGGGGCAGGTTCCATTCCTGGCCAGGGACTAAGATCCTGCTAGCCAGGCAGCCTGGCCACAGAAAAGTTCTGAGCAGAGACGCCAGTAGCCACACCGCAAAGGAGACAGAAGTCAGACTCATGGGCTTCGTGGAGCTCCGGAGCCCAGTCAGAATGTACGGCACGGCCATCTGAGGAACCACCGAGCTGGCGACGAGTTTGACATCCTCCCCCCACAAAAGCCCCAGGAGCGACACGGAGGTGAGCAGCGGGTCACACGGAGTGGTCCAGGAGCCCTCCAGTTCTGGCTCGAGGACCAGAAAAGGGAGCCCGAGTGCTCAGAGTACAGTCCACCCTCTCTTCTCGCCCCTGTCCCCTCACACCCCAAACCCCAAGTGATCCTGAGGCAACCCACCACATGCGCGTGTAGGGCCAAAGTGCTGAGCAGGAGGTATCTCTTCTCTAATCGGTAAAGCTGCAGTCCGGACAGGATGGGGCCAAACCCCTTTACTTTCTTCTGTCTGTGACCTCCTTGTCATTTGGCCCAGACAAAGGCACAGTCGTGACGGAGAGCAAAGGGAGGTGCCTGAAACCCCACTGTTCTGGCCAGAGGACAAAAAACGAGAATTCCCAAGGAAGGCGCTCCCTAAAGTGACCCAATCAAGGTGTTCGTAATGCAAACTCCTGATGTATGTGAGACCGTCGTTCAGGTCTCAGGGACAGACGTGAATGGCGCTGCAAAGGCTGTGAAAACTGAACCGACACTGGAACCACAGAAGGCAGGTTAGGACTTGGAGGCTGAATCTAACCAGGTTAGTTAAGTAAGTAAGTCAGTCAAGTCGCTCAGTCGTGTCCGACTCTTTGTGACCCCATGGACTGAAGCCCACCAGGCTCCTCTGTCCATGGAATTTTCTAGGCAAGAATACTGGAGTGGGTTGCCATTTCCTTCTTCAGGGGATCTTCCAGACCCAGGCATCGAACCCAGGTCTCCAGCATTGGAGGCAGACACTTTACCGTCTGAGCCACCAGGAAAGCTAAAACTTAAATTATCAACATTCTCCGCAAGATTTAAACAAGACTCAAGATTTCATAATATGCAAAACTTTCCACAGGATACAATCTAAAATTATCCAGCATATAAAGAACCAAGACAATCTCAATTTATAAGGGAAGTGAGTCAACAGACACCAGTGCTAAGCTGACACCAATGTTGGCATTAACTGACAGAATTTAAAGCAGTTATTATTAAAACGCTCCAACAATCAACCAAAAACACTCTTATATCAATGGGAAAAAAAGAAAATATTCGCAAAGATATACAGAAACACCAAATAGAAATTTTAAAACCAAAAAATACCATAGCCAAAATAAAATATTAACTGGATATATTCAGTAGCATGGGCTTCCCTGGTGGCTCAGCTGATGAAGAATCTGCCTGCAATGCGGGAGACCCGGGTTCTGAGCTGGGAAGATACCCTGGAGGAGGGAAAGGCTACCCACTCCGGTATTCTTGCCTGAAGAATTTC